AGTATGATAAAGAATGTGTAGGAAAATGTGATAAGAAAGAGTAATGTACATGCAAATCAGTGCTTCAAATAAATATGCGCCAAAACCCATCAAATGTAGCGGTTAATTCAGAACTAATTAAGATCAAGCATCGAATCTTTGTTTACCCACTGAAACTTGAGCGCGCAGAGACACACACAGAACTGCAGAGTATTGATATATTGTTCCATTTATAATTGGAGAACTGTCTAATATTGTGTTGGAATCCCGTTAAGCTGTCTCTGGTATCGACCATTTGCCAGCTCCTTCCAGATGTGTCTCATTTCCATCTATAATACCATAATCCCTACTCGGCATTGTGTGAAGCCATTTACATGTATAATCAATAATAATTGCCCATCATTGATGCTTAATATTTGGTAAAATGCAAGAATATATAACTCTGAACTCGCACGGCTGATTCTTTCACGATCTTAAAATACACTTTTAACGTTGGGGAGGCCTTTTAATGTTGAGTTTAAAGGGTATGCGTGGTCGAGTGACGCAAATTTGCAAGACGTCAAAAATAACTTCATATGACGACATAGAAAATAAATTCCGTTCAATGTTGGAAACTCATTCATAGTCTTACCTAAAGGAGATTATAGTCCTTACAATCCGCGGGAGACACTCAATAGTCTTACCAAATAAAGATCTACACATGATGTATTTTGTATTTTTTTTTTGTTTTAATGCATACACATTAACTAAACCTATTGCATCTTCTAATAAGCCGGTCTGGGTTTATTACAAGTTAAGCTTCAGCTCTCAGAAATCAAGAGAAGGAGGAGAAGGAGAAGAAGAAGGATGGATGGTAAATAATGGTCCTATTGATCATGATACAGATGATGACGAAGATTAATTGAGCCAAAGAAGAGAAAGAGCGTATGAAATGGAAGAAGAGTTGTTGGAATATAATATTATGGAGTGGTTTGTATTTTCTTTTACCATTTCTTTATTTGTGCTGCTTCGGTTAGGTTGAGTGGATTGCTTTGTTTAGTTACTGAATTGTATATGTTGCTGAGTATTATCCACAACAGTGTCGAATTTAACCTTTTTATTTTTCCCTGCTGAAATGGTTTTGGCAATATTTATTTGACCATATAGAAGGCATAGAAATGAAAGAGAACGATATGCATATTTTCAGTCTTATGAGCTAACAAGCGAAACCGCTTGGGAAGGCGGGATTGACCTTGCACCTCAAAGGGTGAGCCTAAGGTCGCTGTACCACAAGGACTTCAGCACTACATGCATTTTATATCCCCTTGATCAAGAACTTGGATATTGATTGCAACTGACTTTTATAGGATTGTTTAAAAGAATTTTTCAATCATATTTTATGAAATATATGAATTAAGTATGTGATAGGAGTTTTGTTTCGGATTACGTGAATAAGTGCTGGTGGGATCCAATATACTTGTGATCCCAAACAAGCACCAAGGCTTCAAAAATCAGTTTCGGGATTCAAACAAGTAAGGAATCTACTGATGAGTTCTGTAAAAATTCTTCCATTTATTAGTTTCCTCTAACGATTAAAAAAGAAAAAGAAAAAAATGATATACTTATCAAAGAAACAATGATATGCTTATCAACCTAAGTGTGCAATGTTTCCTCATCAACATGATCATGCGTATATGATTAAGGGAGGTAATAAATTACATATTTATCTTGAAAAAATTAATCGATTAAGGTGCAAATTTATTAGGAAGAATTTACTCAGGAGTGCTGGGTACTTGAAAAGTTTTTTTGGGTGTAAATTTGTTTCAAAGTTTAAAATTATAACAATATTGCCTCTTACAGTTAAAAAACTAACATTAACAATTAAAATAGTAATATTGACTATTACTATTTTTAACGGTAGGGAATAATATTAATATGATTTTAAACTTTCAGAGTAAATTAATTTGCACCCAAAAAAAATTTGGATGCTAAATGAAAACTTTCAAAGTTTGTAACTTAACCCAAAGATAATTCATCCAAAGAACGATCCCACATAGCTCAAAGCAACAAATGTGAATATATGGGGAAGCTGATTGTAGTGGATTGACTAAGTTGTAGACTTAGATTTCGTTTCCCAGAAACTTAGTGACTGATCATGTTGGGGTGAAGAACGACTCCTTAGTCGTCTTAGCTCCATGTCAAAAATAACTAAATTAATATACTATAGTGCACGATATGAGTCGTATTCACTTTAAGGAACCTCGAAAAAGATCCTTAGTAACTAAGTATGCGAAAGATAAAATTGACTTAGAAAGGGATTGATTTTCTTTTTTAACTAACTAATTGGCAAAATTTAAAAGGATGCAAAATGAGTAAATAATTTTTGGATTTTTAGTTTATAAAATAAATATAGATGAAATAAATGAAGAGAATTAACAAGTGATAACAAAGGAATGACAATCCTCTAGCACAATGATTTAGACTATTATTACTTCAATTAATTTAGGAGTTAGCTAAATTCAAAAGACTTCAAGGGTCACCCTTTAAACTCAGTTTAATTTGAATAATCAACATCAAGACACCTTGAATATTAATTATTCACAATTAGACTGTTTTAATACAATTAGCTAAAGAGAATCAAAGAAAAGCAATTAACATTTTTAGTTCAATAACTAAGCAACCTTGAATTATTACTGAATATTCACAATAATTTCAAAACATAATCTAAGTACAATGTAAAGAAATTAAAGTTAATCACAGCATAATGTCAAAAGGATAATCAAAGATCCCAACAACTACAACCAATTTCAATACAAATATAAATCATCATGGCATATCCAAGTATTACAAAATTCATCCTAAAACCTAAGAATCGCAATTATAATGAAAGAAGTAAAGATCGAAAGAGTTGAAACTCCCCTTTGAAACTTCAAGTTCAAGCCATAAACACTGCTCTAGAGGATTAGAGGATTTAACTACACCTAACCATCACCACAGCTCCAACCTAGCTACAATTCGATTCAGACATGGAATAACGTTTAAGATGATAGTGAACAGTGGAGGATATTGAAAAAAAATGGCGGACAGCAGCAAATTGCGTCGAACTCTTCGCTGCCACCAGCAAGAAGATGACGATGATGATGGTTTTGAGTTGTGGTGAGTGCCGCGTAAGTGTGGGTGGTGTGCCTGCCTCTGTCGCGCGTCCTCTGGTCTCACTGGTTCTGCTGCGCCAAGAAGAAGGACAATGAAGTCGATGGTGATGATGGATTTGAATGGAGATGGGAAATGATGGTTTGGACTGATAAGAGTGAAGGAATTGCCGAGAATGAGGAGTATGAAGAATGATCGAAGACTACTTCAAGCCTCACACTGGACCCCTGTTTCTTTCTTTCTTTTCTTCGGCAGGGCAGACTATGGAATTGGGGGTATATCCAACTAAGGCCTTGTTTGGTTAGGGGAAATAGGAAATAGGTTTAGGGTTACCTAAAGAGTGTTTGGGAATAAGTGTAGGCAAAGTGGAAAGGAATTGAAATCTTTGAGGAGTAGAAAATCCATGAAATTTTGGTTCTCTTAGAAATTCTTTTCCTCTCTACGACAAAGTAATGATTTGGCTTGCCCAAGTTCCTAATTATTACTTGAAAAATAATTCAACTAAATGTAATATCATATAATCCCAAGGACGCAAATATTTAGAAATTAAAAATCATATAATTATTATCAATTAATAGCAATTAAGTACGTAATTTCTAAAATGTCATAAGCACTCAATGAAGCCAAATAATCATGATTTAAGCCATAAAAATGTCCTAAAACTCATAAAATAAATAATGAAAATACATATGTTATAAGGATTTGTCATGGGGAAAGCAAAACCCATGTGATGGTTATTATAAGTTTTGTTAGACTTTGAGAAAAGAAAGACCAGTGATAGTAATTTTTTTTAATTTACAAATGTCACCCTGATAATTGTGCTATTTAAATAATCACCCTGATAATTGTGCTATTTAAATAATGTTGATAGCATAAACTGGCCATACTAAATTATTTATGATCAGAAGCAGGGTTGTTTGAGGTGGAGACCTGTAATTACAATTGCTCCACGTGCTCAATAGCTGATTTAAAATTATGGGTGTGTACCATTTAAAAAGAAAAAGAAACAGCATGAGAATATCTTTGGTTTTTTCTCTACTTTTCAGTCATTTAATCTTAATACTATTTGTTTTAAACCACGATTTTTGTGGCAATTATTGTTATTTTTTAAAATTAAACTTGATATATTATTATTTAAGAATGTTTTGTCAATTTTTAAAACTTGTCGGCATTTTATTAACAGTGTTATATCATAATTGAAAAGACATTTTATAAAATTAAAAGTTTAAGATAAAATTAATATTGTATAAAATTAAAGCGCTAAATGTGAACTTAAATATCTTATTTTTATAAGTACAATACTTACATTAAATTTTTTTTAAAATATTCTTAGCCTGTCCCAGTTCTTAGACTTATAACGAGTTGAAGTGTGAAGCAACCATATAGTCTATCGGTTGAGGGCCACTATCTCCATCCGGATTTAAATGAGGATGACGAAAAAGTCAATGGTCACCGCTATGTATTAATTAAATAGGTAGAAAACATGAATTAACAAATTAAACATTTGAATATGCCTAACCATTTTCTGATTTTCCCATTTCTTTTAATATGTACAAACGTCAAAATCTGTATAGACAAGTGCCACAAGTGATACCTACTAGGTAAACGCCAAAAACCATATGAACAAAAATAGCCATTAATGAATGTGATAGACGTGTCTCTGTGTGTGTCATACAACAGCCTGGGGTCCCTGCAAGTTTAGTTTTTCAATCTTTTAATCAAAGTTGCTCCTTCTTGCAAATGTGAATGATCCAACCGTCAATTCTTTCTCATTAATATTTTAACTCATAAATTATTACCTCTCTCAGTCATATAGGAAAAAACGCGGTGTTAATTTCTTCACTATAAATAGAGGCGCTGAGTTCTTGCCACAACACACGTCGAGTAGACAACTTTTCCAATGCAAAGAGGCCATTTTCTGAGTTGAAAGTACAACAACTCATTCCAGGTAGAGTAAATTATATGTCCTCTTCTTCTTACTTTGCTCCCGTTTTTGAAGAAAAATTGGAGGGGCCAGTGCTATTGCGGGTTTCTTGATATCTTTCTTTTCTTGCATGATACACTGATCTCTCTCTTTCTCTCTTTATACGCTTTGCAGTTTGATGTTCTTCCTCCTGCTGATCTTTCAGACTAACCCTTTTTTTAACATGCTACTTCGTTTTTCTTCCTCATGATCCATCTTTCTTTTAGGGATCCATTACTGGGACTTTAAAAGCAATTAATGTTTGTGTTTCAATGATTTTTGCAAGTGAAAGTGATTTATATTCCATTTGAAATCTGCTTGCTCTACTGATCTCAAGCAAGCGAATACAGAGAGGAGAGAATGAGAGAAAACAAGAACTTGATAGTTTTGGAACAAAAAATCTAGGAGTTTCATATGTGGTCCTCCTGCTCCTAGGCACATCCTAGAATAGATAGATAATACTGTTCTTAATATGCAATTTAGTTTGTACTTCAAATTAAGCTATAAATTAGATTTTATAACAAGGACAAGAGGCAGTACTTGTTATTATAAGGCACTTGATGGGGCACTAATTAAGTTTTTTTCAATAAAAATATATTTTATTTCTAGAGTAAATTAATAGCTTAACCACCTTTTTTAAGTTCGGATGAGGTAGTTAACGTTGCCTTACAATAAGAATAAGATGGAGTGTATATATATATATTCCAAACTAGCTTCTACCCCATGTCTTTAATATAAAACTCACTTTAATAAAGAAAACTGATTACAAAGTAGATCTTATATTAAGTCCTCGAGGGTAGTATTTTTTTTTTTCCCCCAAAAAGAAGAAAAGTTTGAACACTACAATATTGCTTTTGGTTTAAAATGTATTTATCATCACTTTCTCTTCTTACTTGCTCAGAGGCTCCGACTCAATGGCATCTGATTCAGACTGTGGTGCGAAATCGATAAATGAATGTGAAATGGTGAGACAAATTAAGATAGACATAAAGGGGCTACAGGAGCAACAAGAAGTGGACACATTTCAGCATGGCATTTACAGAGTCCAATGCACTCTTCGAGATCTGAACAAGGAAGCCTATACTCCTCAGTTGATCTCAATAGGACCCATTCACTATGGCCAGGAAAAGCTAATTCCAATGCAAAAGCAGAAACTGCGATACTTTCATCTCTTCTGGTTTCGTGTCAGCGACGACAAACGAATGACGAATTTCAAAGAGTTCTTGAAAAATGAAGAACAGGTCATACGCCATCTTTATGCTGAGGAGTTCAAGGAGATCAAGAGTGAAGAGTTCGTGAGTATGCTGCTCTTGGATTCCGTCTTCATCATGGAGCTGTTTCTGAGGTTTTCATCGGAGGAGAAAGATAAAGATGATCCTATACTGAACCAAACTTGGCTGAAACTGAGTATCCAGAGAGACTTGATGGTACTTGAAAACCAGATTCCATTCTACATCTTGGATAAGTTATATACAACTGTCGTCCCTGAGATTTGTCAGGCATATGAAAGATTTATTGACCTGGCCTCTGAGTACTTCAAGAGTTTTGATCCGTATGCAAGGTTCGATCCTGTTGAAACCCTACTAAAGCCAGATAAGGATTCCAAGATCTCGTCAAAAAGTGGCAATAATCGTTCAGCTAATGGCCCCAAAAAGAGGTATTCTGCAAGATTGCAGGAGCACGGGATCAATAATGCGAAACATTTCACTGATTTGATCAGGTATTTACAACTTTACCTAAAATCTTAAGAAAAAGAAAAAGAAAAGTCTTTTGCATGCAATAGTAAAAGCGAATATATAAACAATAGTAATTACAAATCTTTACGACTTTTTCGATATAATAAGCTTTTACCCGCATCAATATTGTTGTTATTTCTATTATTATACTCTCACTTATTTATTAAGGAGTGTGTAATTTCAACACAAATGATTAAAGATGGTATCTTTTAGGAAAACCAACTATATTTTTAACAAATAATTAATTTAACTAATTTTCTTAATTTTTGCAAATTAGTTATCTAGTTCCTATATATATATAGGGATCAATGGGAGTGCTATCTAGAATAAAAATGGCTATATGATGAGAAACACACAAACTGACACATTCTGATGGCATAGGTCCTTCTACGTCAATGATTTGGAACTCAAGCCCTTGCCTTCTACAAATGCAAGGAGTGCAACGAAGTTGCGAGAAGCAGGAGTAAGCTTTGAAAAAGTTAAGAAAAAGAAGTTGCTTTGTATAAAATTCAAGAAACATCCAATTTTGAGTTGGTTTCTCTGCTTGGGTTGCAAGCCAGCTTTGAGATGCTTCAAAGCCCGTTTAAGAACGCCCCAGTTCAAAGTAGACCACACAACAGAATGTGTTTTAAGGAACCTCATGGCCCTGGAACAGTATCATTATGAAGATAAACCCTATGTTTGCAATTATGCCTCGCTCCTTGATTCTCTCATACACACCAGCGATGACGTGGAGTTGCTGGTTGAGAAGGAAGTCATTGTCCATGAACTTGGGAGCAACAAAGAAGTGGCCGTCCTAGTTAATGGTCTGTGCAAGAATGTCATGACCAAGGGGACCTGTTATAAGCGTATTATAGATGACCTGAATAAACACTACGAAAACCCCTGGAATCATACAATGGCTGCTCTCAATTTGGTGTACTTCCGAGACACTTGGAGAACAAGTTCCACTGTGATAGGAATCGCTATCCTTATATATACGATGCTCAACTTTTACAAACTTCTTCGTGGCTTCTTTTCTTAGATGCCAAACATGTTACAAATTACTTGACTCGGCTATATTTGTAGTTGCATGTTATCGTTTATTTCAGTCGGAAGTTTAGTAGTTGAGCTACTCGCTGGATGTAGAACTATGTTGTTTAATTTCAGACTTGTATTCTAAGACTCAGGACTCTCGATTCTTCTTTTGCATGTCTTATTGTAGCGTTCTGTCACTAACGAAAAAAGGATTTATATCACTATTAATTAAAATCAACAATGAGAACAGGACAGGGGAAGAAGGGGAAGAAAATTGAGGTAGGAGAAGTGGAGAGAAATACAAGAGGAGGTACTTAAACTTGTAATTTCATTAATGATGAAGAGGTGGTAAGGAAGCTCTAACCTTAAGGAATAAAATATGAAAAATATAAATCTCAATATTTAAATAAATCTTGGCCAAATAAAACAGAAAATGCTGAATCTTTAAGATAAAGTAAATTTACGTTTTGTATCCCATCAACGAGGTACTATACTTTATTGTTTCTTAATTTTCCCAAATTATTTCTTGAATTCTTCGGAAAACACCTCTCGGATAGGATGATGGTAACTGGTAAGCAACATTTCAACTTCGCCATGTTCACTAATTTTTTTGGGTGTGTATTTGGGCCTTCCCTCCTCGTCTCCAATAAACATTTTCCCCAATCACTTCCCCATTCGGCCAAACACACACACATTAGACACTTTGCTCTTATTCTCCTTTTCGAGATGATTCATGTATATATATTACCCAATAACCAAATATTTCAATTCATTTATTAATCAAATCAACTTAGCTTTGTAATTCTGAAATTTTACGTTCAAAAACATTAAATAAACAAACTGATCACTTGGGGGGGGGGTCATGATTTTCTGTGAACAAATATCAATACGAGAACTATAATACACAAGAATAGCACAAATTCTCACTTCATAAAAGGACTAAAATTGCTTGTGAATAAGATGAAGGAATACTACTCTCATGATATGGGACCAGAATTTAACAATATTAACATTTTGGTTACCTCTCATGATCACCCTACAAATAGTCAACAATAGAAGGAATACTACTCCTGATTCTTAATATAAAAGTTAATTTGACTTTTAATTTGTTCTTAAATATAAGACCCCTATTCACTTTGTCTCTCATATTTATCCATTTTTTTCAAGGTAGTCGTCGTAATAGTTTCACGTGTTAAAGGTTTCATCAAATAATAGTTCTATTTGATGCACATGATTAACAAGGATATTTTAAAGAAGACAACATCTATTTATTACAAATAATTAACTTAACTAATTTTCTTAATCTACTCAAATTGATTAACTAGCTCTTATATTAAGGACCAGAGGTAGCAATAAACAAGAAAACTACTAAATTTATATACATATTTATTAGTTATTAGATAGTCAAGCCATAATCTAAGAAGTTCAACAACAAAAGAATATGCAAAGGGAAAGGGAAGAAGGTGGATAAAAGAACCTTTTTTTTTTTTTTGGGCTAGGCACAGCTATCCTCCCACTCGAGGCACTATCGGGCATCAAAATGGGCATCTCTCCTGACGGGATTCGAACTTTGATTCACTACATTATGGAGAATTAGCTTTTTCTGCCAGACCTAACCCCTACTGGTGGACGGAAGGAAAATTAGACAATAAATTCCACACCTCTGCCTAAACCTAAAAACTTTTCATCGCCCAAATTGATAAAGCCTCCAGCGCATTTCTAATAAGTTGCGTCTGGGTCCAGGCCCATACTTAAAAAAAATAAAACACGTTCTTTTACATAACTATTTTATAAGAAAGATTAACCCAGACAAATAATCATACATAAGACAACATCATAAATCAAACATCAACATATAAGGAAGTTCACGAGACAAAACATAGTAACTTCAGATAGAACTACTGTAATCATCCTAGCTAATAACCAAACTAAAGCATGACAGTACAATTTGAGGGATTAAAAAGTTCACTAGCCAACTTTCAGCAGCAGGGGTAAAAGGATAAAATAAAGCATTCATGACACCACCCACTCATATAGAGATACTATTTCAGATACCCATCCCAGTCAGCCCAGGTTTGCTGCTAGGATAAAGCAACGTGTAGGGCATATTAACAGGACCATGTCAATTTTTAAGTCTCACGTCATTGTTGTCTCTTTCAATCTTTCCTCAATTTTTCTTATACTTTCTTTGAATCTCTCAAATGCCTCTAAGGGCTCTTTATCCGATATCCATCAGATATGTCAGCTTGTCCAAGGTATGCCTCAATAAAAGAATGCGTGGACAAAATAGCTAACACTGTGATGACATTAATTGCTGGGTCCTTCGAATTAATGGTTTTCAACAAACCTTTCTCTGGATTACTCTTAAGCTCTTCATATTCTAGGGTACCCTTTTGAGGCATGTAACGTCTAGTGATAGTAGGACGGTTGAGGATATAGCCCCCATATGGGTATTGCCCAAAATTAATAGCTGCATGGAGGGTTGAAGTAATCCATATCATAATTGTGTAGGATTCTATCAACTCTTCACGATTTTTCATCTAGGGCCACCCTTGATCATCTTTCTTGTCGCTATGACCTACCTGAATGAGTTCTTTCCACCATGATTGAAGTTCATTATCTTGTTGAACAGCTTCATCTCACTCATAGAAAAAGCAGCAGTAATCTTAGACCCAAGTCTTGATCGCAAACCAGACATCTAGTCCATCAACAGCATCAGGGTAATCCTTAATGGCAAGATTAAAGCCATGAGGAGAAGTTGAATCCTCAGTTGCCATTCCTCTAAATCAAGCAAGAAAATAGCATCAAAATTACATATGATACAATATAGAAACAAAGACTTCTTAATATTGATGATGACTTCTTTTGGTGATAGATATTTACCTCTTTAGAAGATCAATGGGCAGTGCTTGATTTGTAAAAACCCAATTCTTGTAAACCTTAGATGAGAGCTCCATAGAATATTTTCCTGGCAAAAATGTTGGCTCTATAATGCCATTTGCATTAACGAGAGATTGTCGAGCAAGTGCATTTATCTTCGTAGTATCACTAAAGCGCAGAGCTAGAAGTCTGAAAATAGGATGAATCATAATAAGCTGTCGATTTGTTGCAATGACGAAAGGCTCAACGATAGTGTGAGTGAGTAACCTGTTGTGATTCATGTAAGTAAAATTATCAATAGACAACTATGGAAAGGAGAAAAACATGAAATAATGTAAAAAATATGTGCGTGTATGTGTGTGTATGTATATAAATACCAATGGCTAATTAGTTGGTGATAATTATAGTTGGAGTCGTTCATCGCAATGTAGGTTTTAGCCAACATCCACCACGCCTTGTTCAATTGGCAAGTAGACTTGAGGAGTCCCATCACAACAACCATCTCGAGGCAAACTTAATCCAATTGCTAGTAGTTTTAAAGTCTCATCATTTTTCAAGAGCAGAATTGTCCTAGTAGCTTACGCTCTAGGGTGAACTTTAGAACAGCAGCTGTGTTTATTAGCCACAAATACGGAATGAAATCGTCATAATAATCCAATATAAACAATTTCTTGTCCTCTATTGCCCGATGAATCAAATGTAGAAAATTTTTTCTTAATATAGGAAATCAGTTGGACACATGAATTTTAAAGCACAATACTCTTTTGGATGAATAAAAAACCGTGGTTTTAGATTAGATTACCTATTGTACAGTGACAAATTCAATTATTTTTATGTATCTTGATATCTTTTATATGGGTTTTGTCAACTTAATTGGTCCCTTTTTGATCTTAATTGATTGTTAATTGATTTAATATATTTTATTTTGAATTATTATTTTATAGGGGCAAAATTGTCATATTTTGATTTAATTGTGACTAATTGATTTTTGAGGAAAATTAATGCTACCTTATCCTTAAAGTTTGTTTACAGGTTTTTGGAAGATTTAAAAATAAAAATAAAAATTAAAAAAAGGAAAAAATAATAAAAAATAAATTTAAAAAACAATAAAAAGAGCGTTTTGCTCCCCCTAACCTACCTACCCTAAATTATTCAAATCTTCATCTTCATTGGCGTGAAGGGTTGGAGCGGATGGCAGAACTAGCGTCCAGAACAAAGGGAGGCGAACACGCACAGAAGAGAGCACGGGAGTGGAGACGCGAACGGAGCTTGACGGTGAGCTCCTCTGTTCTGCTGCCTCTGCTCGTGTCTCTATTGTCACCATAAACTGTATCTTCTTCCTCTCCGCATTGCATGACAGAACTAGTGACGACATGACAGAACGAAGGACCAGATAACAGTGAGCTTCCATGGCAAAATCACACCACCAGATTCCATCTTCATTGTTCTTCATGGCTGGACCGAATTGGAATTTTGGTGGAGCTGTAGTGATGGTTAGGAGCAGCTAAATCCTTTCAATTCTCTAGAGCAATGGTTATGGCCTGAACTTAGAGCTTCAAAGGGGAGTTTCAACTCTTCCAATCTTTACTTCTTTCATTGTAATTGTGATTTCTAGGTCTTAGAATGAATTTTACAATATTTGAATGTGCTGTGATGATTTATATTTGTATTGAGATTGGTTATAGTTGCTAGAATCTTTAATTAGCATTTGACATTATGTTGTGATTAACTTTAATTTCTTTACATTGTACTGGGTCAGACTATGTTTTGAAATTATTGTGAATATTTAGTGGTAATTCAAGGTGGCTTGGTTATTGGACTAAAAATGTTAATTGTTTTTCTTTGATTCTCTTTGGCTAATTGTGCTAAAACAGTTTAATTGTGAATAATTAATATGTAAGGTGGCTTGGTGTTGATTATTCTAATTAAACCGAGTCTAAGGGGTGGCCCTTAGAGTGTTTTGAATTTAGCTAACTCCCAAATTAATTGAAGTAATGATAGCCTTAATCATTGTACTAGAGGATTGCTTTTCCATTTGCTGTCACTTGTTAATTCTCTTTGCTTATTTCATTCATATCTATTTTATAAACTAAAAATTCAAAAATTATTTACTCATTTTGCACTCTTTTAAATTTCGCTAATTAGTTAGGCAAAAAGAAAATCAATCCCTTTCCAAGTCAATTCTTTATTTTTGATACTTAGTTTGCTTAGGATTTTAAATAAAGGCTTCTCAAAGTGAAACGACCCGAGTTTTGCACTATATTGCG